AATTAGTGTCTGACACTAATTCGTTTTTGCCTTTGCCCACCCCAGAAATCGGGGGTAGGCAAAGGCAAGAACCAATTAGTGTCAGGCACTGACTCCAAAATGGAAAATACCGGGTTGTGCTGGGCAGGGGCAGTGCAGGCAGGAGTGGGGTTGGGGGCGGGGTAGGAAACGGCAAAAACGAATTAATGTCAGACATTAGTTCGTTTTTGCCCCGGGCAGCGGCAGGCAGGGGTGGTGGTGGGTCGGGGGCAGGGGCGCAAAGGCAAAACGAATTAGTGTCAGACACTGATTCGGTCTTGCCACGGGGCAGTGGCAGGCAGGGGTACAGGAATTGGCCAAAGAGAGCTGCTCATCCTCATACATGCATTGGCCACCAACCGCCAAAATCAGAACCCTATCCCCCTAAGGTTCTTATATCCGGTGTTTTCATAGCAAGCCAAGCCACCACGAAACCACTTCCATCCAACAAAAAATAAGAACCTTATCCCGAAAGCTAGGGCGCCCCTAAGGTTCGAAATATTGAAGCAACCTGAATTTTGTGAATCTCGCCGGTGGTTGGGGCTAAAGTTCTTAAACAGTGGGTTCTTATACAGGACGTTCACTGTATCACGTCACCAGGTTCCGATGGCCTGCGCGGTAGATACATCAGGTGGACATCCTCGTGGCGGAGCTTGCTGACACCTTGCGCATCACGGTGGAGCAGGCGCATGTCTTTTGACATAGGTTTTAGGGCTTTTCATAGGTTAACGCTTTGGGCGGGGTTTGGGGGCTTCAGTGCAGAAAAGCAAAGCTGCTGGCGTTACAGGAAGGGTTTGGGGTTTGGGGTCTTGCTGAATCAGTTTTTTTTCGTTTCAGGGCCTGTATTCCATCTGAAGCTTGAATGTTTCATGGCTTGCAAGCATCATTAGATTAGGCAGAGTCCCAGAACCCGGGCCACAGCGCACTCCAGGCACGCCGGGAGGCTGAGCACCACTTGGACCTTGCCGGCATCCTGAACCAAGGCCTGACAAGTCTCGAGGGCTTCTTTTGTTCGAAGGCTTCGGCTGCCGATCAAGCTTCCGTCGTTCATGTCCCAACTCCCCGCAGCTCCAACCTGCGTGCCACTGGGCCGACGGAATTGGTGCCACCTCCAGGCAGACTGAAGGCCTATGAAGCAAACAACAGTCGGTCCAGAGACGACGCCAGAATCAGAAAGGCGAAGCCTTGCTGCACGTGGCTTGCCGTACGCTGGCATTCTTCGTGTGCTATGCCACATGAAGCACTGCAGACAAGAGCCGGGGAACACAGCGCACCTCAGGACTCAAAACACGCTGCCGTCGGCGATCTCTCTGAGGACCCACAAGCAGTGCCGCAAGCGTGCCCAATCAACCGTGACACACGCTACAAGATAAAAAGCTCAGGCTTGGCGTTGGGCACCGCAGAATCATGCGGAATCAGCGAAAGCACATCAGACTATGCCGCAAAGCAGGGCATGTCTCTGCTGACATCTTCTTGTCACAGCTTGCCTGTAACCCGCATGTTTAGGTGTTCAAAGCGCCGAGGACGTTTCTTTCCCAGCATGTTCCGTTGCGGGCTCCGAAGTTCGGGATAAGTTTGTCTAGAGTGCGGGTTTCCTTTGCCTCTAAGTTCTCCAAACAGGCTGTTAGAAGACCGTGCCTTTCCGGGGTCTCGAAGTGAGACGAATCAAGGTGGGGTTAGAGAACCTCCTGAATCCCTGAGAGCCCTGAACCAAAACGGAGCTTGTTGCAAGTCCCGGCAGGGCTCAGCCCTACTGGCACCAGCACACCCTTCATCCGAACGGTGGGCCAGACGCCCAAGGCAGGAGAAGCTGCGCGTGTCAGGTGGTCAGTGGGGTTTGGAGTGAAAGTTTAGGGTCACTGTCAGTGTCGCAGTTAGTGTGAACTTCAGGATTGCCATAGATACGGCTGAGGCGCCTACATTCGTAGGATTTCTTGGCGTCCAACTGATTCCACTTGCCCAACCAGCCCACGGAGGCTGCTCTTTTGAACTGGGGCTCACCGCCGACATCGCCCAAGACGCTTGCGGCCTCAGGGTCCTTTCGGAAGCTCCCGTGTTGGATTGTCAGTTGGCAAAATCCGATTCGGGGAGGATGTAATTGTTTGGTTGTAGTATCTATCTCGCAGCTGAAAAGAAGTCAGTGAAGAGCAGAGTGAGTGCACCACGGTGGTCGCGACATGGGCTTCTACTGTCGACCAAACCTCAGCCAAAATCCCAGCCCAGGACTCCTGGTCCCAGACCCTCAACCCTTTATTCCAGATCCGAAACCCACACCTCAAACCGCAAAAGCCCCTGAACCGGCAGCTTCCCTCCTGTCATCTCCGAGGCCTGGAGGTTCGGAGGCCATCGGTGAGATGGGGCGGGGGTGGTGAAAACCCCTTTACAGGGATGTTGTGCTCCAGAAAACTGCGGGGGCTTTGGGGTTTGACTCGGAGAGTTTTCTGTTTTCGAGTGTCTGAGACTTTCTGATGTTGAGATTAGGATTGGTGTCAGTGCAGGGTTTACTGTTCCGGCTCTTAAGTAGAATGGGCGGAAGTAAAATGGGCGGGGGCGGTCATTGTTTGAGGTGCGTGGGCGCGAGTGCGAGTGAGCGACTTCAACTTTTGCTGCATATGCGCAGTTATAAAATGCAGGCGAGTGAACTTCCTTCAGGTGTGACACAGCGATGGTGTCTCTTGGCCCGTTACAAACACAACCGAGGCCCTGCATGGCCCGCACGCCTTGTCACTGTGACGGCCTGCCAGGTGATCCAACGAACTCGCCGGAGGGCTCGGACGGAAGGCGTCGCGGATGGTGTAGCGTGCAGGGTGTAGGGGTCTAACAGTTTAGGGCTGGGGTGGAGAATGCCAAGAGTTGATAAGGTGGAAGACTTTGGGCACTTGGTGGGTTAGGAGTCCAGCTGCTGGCTTCGAAGGCTTCGTAAAGGCTTGAAGAGCTCGGGGCATTTGAGGGCCTACGCGATCACTCGAGCTCTGCTGTTTGGGGGCATGCTCGACAGTAGTATCCCCCCCCCACTTGCTTCGCGTCCCCCAAGGGTAATGCTGTAGTGTATCTACCTGTGGAATGGAGCATTTGAGAGCTGCCCGAGTCCTGTTATCGGATATCTCTTCTGAGTTAGCCAGAATTGAGCTTGGAAACCCTGACGATCCGAATCCCCAGTAGATACTACAACCCGAACCATTGGCGAGGCCATTTGCAGGTGCCAATGTCCGGAGTCAGCCCCGCCACGAGCTCAGGGCAGGAACATCGAGTCATCCGGCTTCACTGTTTTCCAATAATTCGACAGAATTTCAGGCGCTCGTCTGCTATAAGCTACGAGACCGCTATGCTGTCATTCCGATACAGCCAGTGGCCATCACAGTGCGACCATATGTTGGCAATGACAGAATACTTACAGACAGATCTGAAGCAACAAGCATATCCAGATCATCAACACCAATATACTCGGACCTCACAGGGTCATGCACCTGACACCGAGTACCACTGTTTGATTTGTGTTAGTTTTGTTATCGAACCGTCAGATACTGCTCGGCAAGCCGAGACAGAGAAAAGCACAGGACCCCCTAGCTCAAAACTGGAAGTCGTTCTGAAACGCCGAAAGCTTTGCTGAGGAGATGAAGGTTGAGATCAAGCCCGCTATTTCCTCCAAGATCACCGTGGCCGTCGTCGCACCAGGCCGGCGCTGGCGACCGAACGACTCAGCCTCTGTTACCAGCCGACAGGGCCTGAGAGGAACCATTGCTTGGGCTCTGGGACGGGGGAGGGGAGGGGTGTTGGGAGTTGTTGCGCCTCGGCTGCTGTTAGTCTTTTGCTTGGCGGGGCGGTCTTAGCTGGTGTCTGTCTGGATTTCGGGTTTTGGCAAGCGGTGGATTCGCAGCCCAGAAAGATCTTGCTGAGCACTCTGACCGTTCTGGTTTACTTGTTGTCGTTGAATCATACTTCCACTTGCCATTTCAATGGTGCTCAGATTAGCCGCCTTGCTTCCTTCGATGCGGGCAGGTGCCGGCACCGGCATCAACGGCGCGATTTACTCCGAGCTGGGCCGGAATCCATCGTTCAAGGCAGGCGACTGCTTCGACCACCGCCTGCAAAGGTTAGAGCCTGCAGGGCATGAATCTCGTATCCTCTTGGCCCCAGCTTGTGGAGGTCCAGGCTTTGAGGAGAGCAGATGCCGCTGCATGCAAGGTGGAGGTGGTCGGACGTTCTCGGGCGCCTTATGACGTCTACCCGCTGCTTGGCTGAGAGATCCTACCCATAGACTACCAACACCAGCTCAGCCACGGGAGCAGTTGCATCAACAACTGCAACGACAGAAATAGCGATGGCAAATGATGATGGCGAAGGCGACGACGACGACGACGACGACGACGACGACCGCTATCCCTTGCTGAGTGTTATAACATGCATGGGCTTGGGTATGTGGGGTCATTGAACTCACCTTCTGTGTACCCTATCAGCAGAGTTCCAAGAACCATCCGCTGTGCAAGTGCCAAACCAAACATAAGGCCAATGTTCTCTTTTTGCAGCCATTCAGAACGTCATTGTTACATCAACATCATCAAGGTCATCAACATAACCATAGTCCACAACACCATCATGTTGATGACGGTCACCATCATCATCGTCGTCATCAGCATCACAATCATCGTCATCGTCGTTGTAATCGTTGTCGTCATCATCATCATCATCGTCACCTTCATTATCATCATCATCATCATCATCATCGTCGTCATCATCGTCGTCAGCAGCAGACCCGGCAACATCAACATCACCTACCTTAGCATGTCCAACATGACCATCAGCAGCATCAGCAGTGCTACCAGTAGCACATTGGCATGCGGCTGTCATGCTATGTGCAGTGCTACAGCTGCCATGCTGCAGTCAGTACATTTCATCCTGCATCATCCTCACCACCCACAACAACGACATCGCCATCGCTGTGTCTGGATTCAGTTTACTAATTTTCGCTTGCACCTTCATTTCCATCTTCATCCTCATCTTCGTTTATTCCTCTGGTTTACACGGCATGCTGTTTCTCAGCGAAGGCCATGCTGGCCCCATGGTGCTCCTGCACCGAATCTGCAAAGTTTCGCAGACGAGGTTGGGAAGAGCCAATACATCGTACTTGCATGATGCAAGGGCCGGGCAGACTGCCAACATACTGTGTGTTTTGCAATTTGGCAGAAGCAGTGCTGTCATGAGCCTCAGTGCAAGTGTCGACCCGCAGCATGATCCTTCCCATTTGCCGTGGTGAGAGGGATTCTCTCCGTGCTGGCACTAGGGTCACCAACATGGCCATGCGCCGTCAGGAGCTTCGGGCGGTTACCCTGCCCCGTCGTGCATGCCATAGAAGGCAGAAAACCCGAGGTACCTTGACAAACACTTCCATACCCTTCGCCATGCCTCCTCAACCCAGACCTACCGAAGCCCTCAAACCCTCAACCCCTATAAATCTCTACATCCCCTACACCCTTTAACCTTAAGATAAAATCCTGGGCAGCAGGTCCTCGAGACCGGCGTGCACAGGGAAGTTCAGACGATGGTCTTCGGCTCCCGGGGAGGCCAAGTGGCCCGGACCCGAGGCTCTCTCCGGCTTTGGTGTCGAAAAAAGGGCCGGTTAGGGCTTCAGGTTTTGGGTTTGGGGTCTAGGGGTTTAGGGTTTAGGATCTGGGGCTTTTTGTGAATGCAGGACGTTTTGATCCCTTCTGTGGCTGTGCCCCAGATCCGACAGGCTCGTCCAAGTTTCTTCTGCGCGCCCACTCAGAGCGCCGAGTCCAAAACCCGCCAAAAGGCCTCAACCCTGGAGCCCTTCTTATGCAAACCCCTATTATACGCTCTATCTCTCCTTTTCTGCCTTAGATCCTGCTTGGCCCCGTTGAGGTTCTACCGCACCTCTGGCAGGCTCAGGTCGCCTTTTCTCAGCGTTTTCAGTTTCAGGCGATGTCTCCGTGTGGGTATCTGGCCTATCTGTTACTTACCTGTTCCGGCATGCATTTTACGGCACAGACCTCTTAAGGTTGTAGTATGCATGTATGCAAGTTCATTGCTTTAGTGTGCAGTTTTACAGTCTGAGTATTGAAACCCAACCCCTTAATGACCCCAGCAATGTGCAGGAACATGGGCTTTGTCCTCCGGTGCCACCCGCACTCTGCTCAGACTTTCTGGAGAATCAAGAGGCCTTTGGCCTTGGAAGCCTGACATGTTCTGTGTTGCTTCGTTTGTTGGAACACAAGAGCTCGCATGCGGTTCATGTGGTGCCTTTGCTGCATGAGCATGAGCTGTTGTTTCCTTTGGTGCTGGGTGTACGTGGGCATGACTACTTTACGATATAGTTCTGTGTATACTTTATGTGCTGTTGTAGATCACTTGGTCTTTGAGGGCGTCTCACATGGAACCCTGGGCTCGAGTTAAGTAGCGGGTCGCGGGTCGTCAGTCCGAGGGTGGGTCTTAACGCCAGATGGTCCACCTTTGCAGTTGCATCAGATTGCTGAGATCATGTGCTGCTTTGCTCCCTTCTGCCTATACCTGCCCAGTAATTATATTCCAACATAGAGGAATATTCTCTCACCAGAAAGTCTCTCTCGACAGAAACGGCTTCGTGCATTCATCCAGCCAGGACCCTCCTTCTCCGGTTCGGTCGGCTTTCACTTGAGTCCCTAATCCTTCAAACAAAATGCACACCCTAAGCCACCCGCGTTCGAAGCCCAGCAAAGCAGAGGTCGTGGTCATCAACGGCGGTTGCGCATGGCTCCAAGTTAGCTTGGGGTTGTCACACGTCAGAAATCTAGGCGACAGGACTTCCGGCTGTAATGGTGTTGAGCATTATTTGTGATCGCTCGAGCACAGCCTTGACAAACTCTGCAGCTAGAAGCAATGGCAGTGGCAGGCTTGGCAACAGAATTACTGAAGGTATCACGATCGAACTTAACACAACCTAGCAATTGTGATACGTGTCAGGCTCGCCATGCTTAGAAGAACACAGAACGTGGCAAGGGCTGCAACAACATCACGACACGATAGTGACAGAAATCATCTGGGACGACAACAATCACGACGAAAATGGAGCTAGTTGCACTAGACACGCACAAATGTCGCAGGAATGGAAACCAATGATCCGAACAGTTGAGCCCGTGGCAATCCAGGTGACGGTCGCACTATCAAGCAGTGACAAAAGCTTGCAGCACGACTGCGGGCATCAAGCAACGCAAAATCAACTACCGCGACGATGAAGTGACGGCTGAAGCAAGGTTAGTGAAGCAAAGGTGAGTGTCAATTCCAGCAAAGCTCAGGCTATGAAGTTGCCAACTCCCGTGCGCTGGCCGGAGTCTGCAGTGAGCTTTCTGCTGATCGGCGGCCAGGACAATTTCAGGCGTGGCAGGTTTGTGGCTCAGGAGTCACAGTGATAGTAGCAACATCACAGGTATCAAGTTGTCGTATTGCGAACGGAGTTCTCGGCAGAGTTCTTGACGATGCACGTCGTTCTTGCAGGGGACGCCTCAGCGTGGAAGACTACGTGGCAGAGACAAGGACGCCACTGTCCATGTTCCAGGCTGCTTGGACAAGACGGCGCTGTTCTGCCACAGGAGCCATGTTCCACTGGCCAACAAGACCACCGCCATCTTGTTCGTCCAGGCTGGTAGAGTTCAGCGGATGGCGCCTGCAAGCAACCGTGTCATGACTCGCACGCGGACCAAGCTGCGGAAATGTGCAGTTTCACAGGAAATGACGCACATGCCGCAGCAACCCTTGCCATTGCCTGAGTTCTCTGCATGCATTTTCTCATGCGGATGTGCCTCTCCTTCTGTTTTCTTTCAGACGACGGCGCGCTTGTGACACCGAGGCTGCGAGGCGTCCTGCGGCTGATGCTGAAAGCCATCGCCTCCTGGAAGGAGGGGGGAGGGGGCTTCTCTGTGTGGGGGCTTTTCCCTTCCCAGATGACTCCGAGAGTGGTCTTTTAGGTGGAGGGCAAGTTGCCCTTGGAGCAGTTCCGGAACATCCTGGCCTTCCTGAGACAGGAGCACCGCAAGGGTGAAGCTACTTGTGCCCAGATACTCCAGACAGTCCTTCCGTGTCATTGCGCGCACTGCCGGCCGCTTCCTTGCAAAAACTAAGACATCTGACTGCATGCTCCCGTTTTGGTTTTTTATGGCTGTATTTCTATTTCTTAACCAGGATGGTTGGAGTGGGAGGCTGCTCTACACGACCTCAGCCGGAAGTTGGGAAGACATCAAGTTCAGCCCAGCACTGAGCTGCGGGTCCAAGGACGGCGGGTTTCCAGGGGTTGTGGGACCTTAGAAGAACCTGCAACTATAAGGCTCGATGGACATCGACAAGCTGCAGGCTCGGGTGACGGCAAAACCTTGCCCTGGCCGCTGGCCCACGTGGGAGCAGATTGGGAGGTGGATGGCGCTGCACATGCTCTGGATGAGCCTGTGGCCCCCGTCGCTTCTCGGCCTGACAGCAGGAGCTACTCGTTGTCGTGAGCGCCAACCCGGAACCCAAGGAGTTTACGGCCAAGGATGAGGTCAAGGCGGGCCTAGTAAGAAAAGTTGGACTTCGTACCGATCTCCATTATAGGGTCGACGCTAGGCTCAGTAGGTCAAGAGTCGAAGAAGAAACGGGTGCTGCTGACACAGATTCCGAAGTCCTTTGGCTAAAGAGATTTAAAGAGTATTTTCAATATTCAAGTTCAGAATTTCAGTCTCAACTGCTTCAGCGCGTTCATTAAGCTGAGGCGGCCTTGAGCACGTTCAGAGATTGAAGAATTTTGCACCGCAAAGGCCCTTTGGCGCGCCGCGGTGGTTGCGGCCACGGGCAACTGTGGCTCCGCAGTCAAGGCAAGTGGCGCCTGATACAGAATCACACCCTGTCGTAGATCCTGCAGATCTGATCGGTGCAACTGACTCGATTTCAGGCAGCTGCCGAAAGAGCCGAGCCCCAGGTCCGGAGGGCTCGGAGGGCTCTCCGTCACGATCCGGAGAGAGTTGTTCATTTGCCTGCCGGTTTGTTGCAAAGGCCACACGGGTTATGCCAACCTTGCCGATTTCTCGTGCTTCAGAGGCGTGGAAGCATGCTTTATTCAGCAGCTCAGCGTTGGCCGAATCTTCGGGCCCGTGGTTTCTGGACTCTTTGCAAATCTTAGCTGCAGGGCCTGCAAGTGCCATGTGCCGCTGGCTACGGGGCCTTCGGCGTGGCAACTCCGGCCACTACCCCGACAACCCAAGTGTCTGTTCCTGTCCGCATCGGAAAAAAAGGAGACTGTCCTGGGCCAAGGAAGCGACACCGATTTCTCGAACGCTGGGCTTGCCTTGTCGCAGGGGCCCCATGAAACTGGGGGTGGTCTTATGGTCCGCTCAATCGGTCTCGCGGGAGGTAGCATCGCCATCGTCAAGGTATCTGTCCATCCAGCGCTTAAGGGCAATAATTTTGCAGCACCCAAGAACTCAAGAACGTCAGCTGCGAAAGGGACTTAGCAACGTCAGGTCCTCTTTGGCCGGTGTCTGAAAGCCCAGTTGTAGGAATTCTGTGTTGCTTGTTTTTTGCACACTCTCTCTCTCTCTCTCTCTCTCTCTCTCTCTCTGTCTACCGTTCTTTTGCTCTCTCTCTCTCTCTCTCTCATTCTGTCTCATTGTCAATTTACAGTACGCCCTCCCCCTCCTCCTCGCCCCCTCCGCCTCCTCCTCCTCCTCCTGCAGCAAGATTGCAAGATTGCTAGCAATCTTGATTGTTCTCAATTCCCGGCACGCTGAACGCTGCTACTCCTACTCCTACTCCTACTCACTACTCCTACTCCTACTCCT